ATCTTCTTCGGAAGAGATTTTAATTATTTTACTAGGCAAATTACAGCGACTCTTTCAACGAGAATTTTTAAGCGTGGAAAGTCTGAATAGAAAGAAGGAGTAATGGTGTCCTTTTATTTGAACATTTTCAAATTTTACGTACCTTTCTCTCGAAAACCATAACAGATATTGAAATCAATTTTTAACCACATGTTCCTTGCGACCAGATGAAAGGATCGATACGCAGTATTGTTGTATCTCGATTCGTTCGTTGCCAGCAATATTTTATTGCTCAAAAATTTTTTGAAAAGCGTGTATTTTTTGAAAAATTATATTTTCACTTCCGAGCAATCTTTCTAAATTCTACCGTATAAATGTACGTGGAACGGGTAAAAAGACATACGGATAAAGTTTGTAGGTGATATCTGTAACAGTTCCTGGGGAAAAGGTACGTAAAGTTGGTAAATTTAACATTGATCTTCCCTTAAATCTCGTCGACTGGCGATTTCTGACGGGTTCGTTAGCGTCAATTGGCCATCGTCGGGCAAAAATTCAACGAACCAATCGTTCACAGGCAGACGAACCGGCTTAACGAAGCCAGATCGATGCTACTTAAAATTTGTTCCGCGTTTAGTCATAGATTCGCGATTGGCGCGCCTCCATGCGTTGAAAACGTGAACTGGTGGCACTCATTCGGGGACAATTGGGAATTAATTGCAGCGTTGTAGATTCAATCTGGGTATTTATGGATTGTGACGTCTGTGGAATCGGAATTGGCGATATACCTAACTAGAAATGACTTTCAGGAATTTTGGTAAAGATTCGAACCTTGAGAAGCACTTTGGAAGTAAAGTTTTGGTGATTTTTGAGCAGAGATTTTAGAAATTTGATAATTTCAGGGATTTCGACGAAGGTTTGAATCTTCAGGAATATTTCAGACGTGTCATGGTGGGTACAGTGTGGATTCTGAAGTTAAATATACACCTTTTTACCGCTGGTGCTTCGAGAATAATAAAATTCTCCTGTTTTGGTGATTTTTGATAAAAGTACTTTGGAAATGGAGTCTCAATTTAATATCCTTCAAGTTCTTTTTTAAAAAATGAATTAATATTATTCATATTATTAATATTAGCTCGTTAGATATATTAAATATATTTAGACTATTAAGTTTATTAAGTACGTGAGTTCCATGAAATTGTTTTCTCTAACTTAAAAAAAAAAAACAAATGTCAATGTTAGTCAAAGTAAAATAGTTGTCGAATTTCCTCCATTTGCAAATGGACAACTTACAACCGTCTAAATTGGAAGTTTGCTCGAAGACGACGAAGTGGAAATTCGGGAGGGAAGACTTGCCATTCGAAAAGATGTTATATTTGGAATATTAGATTCCGAGGCGTGGTAAATTGGACGTCTTCAGAGTCGCGATGCGACGCGACGACAAATTGGGAACTTGTTGACTCGATGTGAAACTCTAAACTTCAGTTTCCTCAGGGAGGAAAATTGAATTTCCTGGAGAAGTTGAAGAACGTCTAGTTAAAAGAAAAAGAAAAAAAGAAATAAAAAGGAAAGAGCACAGCATCTTGTTTATTTGCGTTACACAACTGAGTCGGGTGCAGAATATTTCAATGATAAACTAAGCTACATCAAAGACTTCAAGTAGCTTCAAAAGCTCTCCAGGATGCACTTCTGTTATCAGAACTTCAGCATGTCTGCTAAAAGCTTCTTAATGATCCTTTCATGTCAGGACTTTCCAATCTGAATGCCTAAAATATGATCAAGAAATTCTTTTGCTACTTTGAATATAATATTCAAATGACGACTTTAGGTTAGAATATTAAAAGGTTAGGTGTACAGTTAGGTTAAGTGTTAAGCCTGGATTAGGATCCTAGATTGAGGTTAGAATGTTAACTTTTAAAAATAAAAGCCTGCAAAATATGATAAACAATTCTGTAACATCAAATTAACTGTGGATCATGTGTTTGATTAGGTTTAGTATCAGGATATTAAATTTGGATTAGGTTAGGTTTACTTTGACTCATTCCACTCCAAATGAAAAAATTCCGAAACGGCAAGTCAATGAAAATGAAATAAACTTTAATATGAAATAACTTAATGTTAATAATTTTGAAATGAAACTCTCCGATAACCACCGTAAACGTAACTGAAACTCCATCTAAGGAAAAGATGGATGATTGAAGACTCGTGATATCCGTCGATCATCACACCTCCACATTAACAGCACAATTTTATTTTGTCACCTGATCTGATCGATACAATCGGTACAATTCTTTCGATCGATAGATTATTTTTCCTTCGTTTTTTCTTCTTTTTTTTTTGTCACGTTTTTTTCTTTTTGTTCTTGTCGTTTCTTCGTTTAATTCTCGATTACACGGTGGCGCAGGCTGCTTTTATTCTCTCTCTCTCTCTCTCTCTCTCTTTCGCTCTCTCTCTCTCTCTCTTTTTCGCGACATCGTCGTCTTCGATTGAGTGGTATTTCTCTTTGAATTCACACGGATGTACAGAGGGCAGCTTGCCTAGTAGGTTTGTAACGCCGAGCAACGACTGAAGTAATCGATTGGACGTTGCGTTGTTCTTTTCTCTTTTTTTTTTTTTTTAATTTTTCCACAATGATAATTGACGCCAAATATCGATGCACGTTGTTGCTCCTCCCCCTAGATCGATTTAAGGGAAAAAATGGTAACCTAACTTCTTTATCCTTCAACGAACGAAAGAAAAATTAACAATCATAAACAGATGATATATTTTTTTCTTAAACAATGTCGTTTCTCATCCATTTGGTCTGGTTTATTGCACGTCCAATTGACACCTGAAAGAGCAAACGAATATCTGCTTTTCCAAGTGGACCCTCTCGATTTCAAGATGGCCTCGAAGACGGGGCATCTATGTGCATGCGTCTCGAGGCAACATGGCGGATTTCCAATCACCTGAAATCGATCTATCGCCAATGCTCCTACTTATTGTCACGCGAGCGCAGAAAACATCGCGATTCTCGCTGAAAACCGTTGGGATACTTCGAAATGCTCCAATTCTCACACTTCGTAAAATATCTTACGATTCTTCAAATCGATTCCAATTATATCCTTTGGCTCGAATTTTTCTCCCTTTGAATTTTCTACAAATTTCGTCTTTCCGTTTGAATTTTAATAATTAATTTTCCTAATCTCAACTCGACAAACGTTCGAATTTACGTTTCCCTATATAAATTTTCCTAATTAAACACCGTTACATGACCACCGAAATTTTCCCGGTAGAAAATTTATCGTCGAAATCAAAAGTCTCTTAATGGAAGACGAGACTTTAATTTTCTCTTCTTTCTTTGAAAAATTCAAGATTCGTCGATGAACGTGTGTGTGTGTGTCTGTGTATACGTGTGTGTGCATGTGAGTGTTTGCTGGTAACGTCCACGTCAAACGTACTTCAGCCGTCGCAACAATTCTATTAACATCGTCTCAGGTGGCCGAGCTTCGAACGAGCCTTCGAGGATCAAAGTGAAAGTTGTGCATCGGATCGACGTCGTCGAGACAGGTTCGAGGGAGAACAGAGTTCAGAAAATGTTCTTTTATCAGAAGAAGGGAGATCTCATTGGATAAAGCAAGTATAGAGTGACATCTGCCGTTTTTCGGGGGCCACTTAGGTCCATTTCACACTTGAAAAACGACTTTCACCACGGACCCTTCAAACTGCGTTCAAACAGTTTCAAACGTGACAAAATTCATGCTTAGTAGTCATTTTTGGATTTACTCCAACCTCTCTTTCGAAGAAGCTCGCTTTTCCAAGTGTGAATGGGGGATAATCCGGCTCTTCCTGCAAGTGCGCTTATATTCGTCAGTTGTTATCGTTACCTAGTCTGGTGTGCTCTTTTGAAACGAGTTGCCCAGAAGCGAGGAGGGTGGAATGAAAATTTTCAAAAATAGCTGCTGACGATCAGTTTGGCGATTGAAACGTTTCGAAACAGCGCAGCTTAGTCTTCTCGCCATTGGAACGTTTCTTCTTCGGTGAAACTTGTAAATTAACACTGATTCGTTTAATAACTTTAGATAATCAACTGTTTCATTATTGTCCAACTATTCGATAAATTAATAAATCGAAACATGACCTCTGAAAAATTAAAAATGGGTAATTTCACCAGAATTGATCTTTCGAGGTGTATCTAAGTGAAAATACATTCCAACGAGAAAGATGGCGATCGACGCCATGACAAAAACACATCCCCACTCTGTCTTCAGAGAAATGGCGGGAAATTCAAATCAGAAATATGTGTTTCGAGCATTCTTGTCATGAGATCGATCAAATCCATCGCGATTATTCTTACCAGAGCTTCGATCGACCCCTAACCTCTCCGAATATTTCCCCATCGAACCCAGGACAGAAAGAAAAGGTACAGCTCGTGATTGGACTCGGATTAGCTCGGTAACACCTCCACGTAATCAGGCTACAACCGTCATACATATTTATATATGTATACAGGGTGAATCCCATGAAACTCTTCGATCTAATTGTCCTCACCATCAGTGACCCAAAAATTTCGGGGAAAAAATTTAAAAATTCTTCCTAATACAAATTTCTCTGCGAGAAAAAAATATCGTGGTGTTTTTTTTCTTTTTCGAGGTTAGGAATGAGGGAACTTTTAAAAAATTTGGTCGATATTCGTCGAGTGAAGGAAGTTTGGTTAGCTTTTCTAATTAAACGTTTCGGTAATCGTATAACTGATGCTGAGGGACAATTACGGTGATGCCAGGTCAAGGGGTTCATCCTGCACATACATACGTATTTATGTGCACATATATAAATATATCGATCGAGAAAGGAGGAAAGAAAAAGAGCAGAACGAAGAACGGCCGAAAACGAGGAGCGAAATGAACAAATAACGAAGTGAACTAGGGCTAGCATGGTCACATGACCTTCCTCCTCCCCTCTTTCTCTCTCTCTCGCTCTCTCTCCTCTCCCACGCACACACACAGGTACACACATCGACATACACACATCCACACGCGTCCATACACACATGTATACACAGGCATACACGCGTTTCTCTTCTAATATTTCCTCTTCCTCTTTCCTCTTCTTCTTCTTTTTCTTCTTCTTCTTTTCCTTCGTCTTCCTTACTTTTATTTATTCTGCTTGTAGAGCGTTTCGGTGGCCATCCACGATCTTAGCAATTACAATTGTCACCCGTTGGATTGGTCGGCTGGTCGGTAAGTCGTTGACCCTTCGCCTGACCCACTCCACCTGCGATCAAGTTTGGATCGTTGTCCAGGGACTCGCTCATCTTGTCGCATATGATGTCCACCAGCTGCTCGAACACCGTCTGTAGACAGCAAACGATTTGTGTGATCTGTTGGTAGACACTACGAGGGATGACTAGTCGATTCGTGTCTTGGATTTCGTAGGGATTGTTTTTCAAGGAATTTCTGGGTGATCTAGGATTCGTGATGGTTGAAATTATTGTAAGAAACCTAATTGCAAAGTAGCTTGGCCTAACAGTTCCGAATAATGTAGAATCTTCAAAATAATTGCTACCTGCAGTGAACCAGAATCCCTCTTCTTGATAGGAATCTTTTTATGACTCAATGCTCTCAATAACAAAGTGCTAACCTAATTCTTCCCTAATTTTCCTGGTCCATAAATAGTCATGTAAGCACAATGGAGGTACTCCAGGATATACTGTCCATATTTTGAAATATTCTCAGGATACCTCTGAAATTTGTCCACCCTTGAAAGATATTTCAGACTCATCGTTGCTCTTCTAACACTCCAAACCGTTTTTGGTACACTTCTAACCTAACCAGAACCCTTCAGACTATTCCCAACGTCTCAAACTATCGTTACTGTACTTTCGGAATACTCTTAACCACCCAAACTAAGTACTTCTCAAGTATCCTCGAACCTAAATCTGATCTAAGAGGTCTATGTCAGAAGTTCAGGTCTCCGACTTGCGGAGACTAGTACAGGTGGATGATATCGAGGCGTTCCCTAATAAAAACACGTTTATTGTCCGGATCACACAGTCTCAAGGCAGAGTCAGGCCGTAGGCAGAAGAATCGATCGCGTAGACGTCGATATGTCAATGCCAATAGGTTCGACCCGTTGTGCAAGGGTGATTAATGGGTGCAGATGAGCGGTAATCGAGGACGCCTGATCGAAGGTGATGGTACACTGTGTACACACTACGCGGATGGAAATAAGTGTTGAAACGTGACACGATAACCTTTCCAGCGACGTCTGCTAATGACGCTAGCACATGACCATACTGGCAGGGATAATGGACTTGGTAAACAGTCCAGAAGAGAGAGAGAGAGAGAGAGAGAGAGAGAAAAAAGGGAAATTGGACGTGGTACTAATTTACTTGAAATTTTTGGATTGCTCAGAAAATCGACTACTATGTCGATTTAGCTGTGAAGAGTCTGTTAGGCCTTGTTTCTACGAAATTGTCACGATTGAGGTTATGTTGCGCGGAATTTTCAGACCGTTAGATATTCTAAATCTATTGTAATTGTAATGGTTTTATTTTTGGGAATAATGGGTGTTATGATTTCTTCAGAAGTAATACTTTTGCTACGATTGAGGTTAGGTTCGACAGAATTCCCCGAAAGTTAAATTCTAAGGCTGTTTCAGTGATGGCGACTCTCTTTTCTGAAATACCAAATTTTAGAATTCCATCGAGGATAGTATTTGGTATGATTGAGGTTAGGTTGGGTAGAATTCTCAAAAAATTCAATTCTAAGTCTATTTCAATGCTGGAAACTCCGTCGAGATTAATATTGAGGTTAGGTTAGCTACCAAAATGCTCGAAAAGAAAATAAACTCTGAGTCTATTTTAGCAATTAAGACGTCGTTGTTTCTTCCACGTTAATTTTCCAAAAAGTGAAACCGAATCGAGGATATACCTTAATGTTGATGTTCTCTTTGGCCGATGTCTCGAAGAACTGCACACCCAATTGGTCTGCCAATTGCTTACCCCTCAAGGTGGATATCACCCTCTCTTCGTCCATGTCACACTTGTTGCCAACCAGGATTACCTGGGCGTTGTCGCACGAATAGGTTTTGATCTGCGTGACCCAGTCTTGTACAGAATTGAACGACTCCTCGTTTGTGATGTCGTACATTAGAATGAAGCCCATCGCGCCTCTGTAATAGGCCGTTGTTATCGTTCTGTATCTCTCCTGGCCCGCCGTGTCCTGCAACAATTATTACACTCTGTCACACGCTAATGCTTCTTTTTACATTTTCTACCTATAATTTTTGTACCGGGTGACGCACGATAAAACACAGTGTTTTCCCTCTGGGGCTCATTTTGACACGTTGAATGCCGGACCAATTCTACTTAACTTGTCCACGGCGTCGAAATAAATTTTTTACTTAAATACAACACATCCCAATATGCATAAATAATATGTCAACAGTTAGAAATAAAACTATTTAAATATGCTGTGTGATGCATTAGATGAAAATTTTACAAATATTACCATCTATTCAAATTAAATGCTTTCACTAATTTTGGCACCGCCGGTCACCGATCACCCCCCCACGGGGTTCAACGTGTTAAGTTGTATTGCGTACAGAAATAATAATGTCGTGTAAATTGTTCAAATTAAAACGTTTTTGAGTTAGAAATATTGTTTATGTCATACCAAATGTAACTCTAATAAATTAATAAGTAAAATTGTATTTGGGTTTACAGCTGATTTCATTTGTGCCACCCGGTAGACTACACATTTTACCATTTTCGGGTTATATGTATATCATATATTTTGTGCAAATTGCAATTTCATTTCTTCGAATATAAAACTTTTCTTTTTCGTTAATTGATAAAACTTCAAAATATTAAATTTTTATTATTGTCACTTATAGCCTTTTCTATATCATTTTCGAATACTATATTTTGTAGGTACAGTAAATTCTCCACAAGTGTCAGTCCGCAAGGAATCTAAACGTGACACTTGTAGAGTCAGGGACTACGTTTTTGAGCCTCGCGCCCGCTTTTGTAGTTTGTCGAACGTAGACAAGGACAGCGAATAAAAGATAAGGATGAAACGTGTGTCGAGGCAACCAAGCGATTTAAATATCAACTTTTTTAATTTTACGTTTTTTTATCCCGAAATTTTTCTTAACATATTGATGAGATTTTTCTGATGAAAATGACGTCAAACACGACATAATTTGAACATTTACTTATTAACACGTTCCCTGTCACGCCGGACAGTGCGAGCGAGCGAGCGAGATAACATAGGCGCAGCAATGACGCAGACCTAGGCGTAGGACCATCTATACTGACACTTGTAGAATCCAAAGTGACTGACACTTGTGGAAAATTTACTGTATATCCTATACATAATTGTGTATTTTTGTGTGTCTGCGCAAAGTTACACTTATCTTTTTCACGTATTTTCAAATATTCTGCTGATACGCAATTTTGGTTCTTGTGCATATGTATTATATATTATAATAAAATTAATTTTTCAAAAATTCCACGTTTTTTCCTATCTCTCGCAAAATTTCTCGTCGGACAGATACGCATACACGATTCTCGAAGGAAATAGAAGGAAACATACATACATCAACCACAGGTGAAATAACAGGCTGTCATAAATAAGAAAGATACACGTGCGATAATGTATGACTATGGATTTTTCTGTTTCTTTCAGGTGATAAATGAAGCCACGTGCGGATAAACCAGCGGCAATAATCACAATGCCGCTAGGGAAACTAAACAAACGTATCAGAGTTATATTTAGTTCACACCTCTGAAAACAATCGACCAAACACTCGTTCCTCTACATTGAACACACTTTTCATTAGTTTCGAAATTCTTGATCAATTTTCCGTGTAAAATTTTTCAATCGCCAATTCAAAGGAGACAGTTTTACCCAGCGAATTTCGAATTCTTCCAAACAAAAAGTTTACGAAAATAAATATCGGTGAAAGTGTCGCAGAAAATTCCAATGGTCAAAAATTATACAGGCCTGAAAAAATACTGAAACATTCTTCTGAAACATTTTTTTGTAGAATTACAGGAAGTTTCAGAAAGGATATGGTCAGATAAAATGGAGCTTAATAATCGTCACTTTTTAATTTTTTTAACTACGGCGCATTTGAGCAAAAAATCTCAAAAAAATTCAGAATAATAGTATCAAGGATACGTACTTACTTGAAAAATATAATTATAGTTCTGGGACTCTTTCAATATAAAATGAGTACTTTCCAGCATTCTTTTGCGTTTTTTATTTTTTATAGCTTGGATTTTCAATTTAAAAATCGGAAAAAAGTCTGCAATATGTACCTCGTTAACTGAAGTGCCTCTGATTTTTTTCAAAATTTTTCATGCGCTAAGGTGAGAGAAATTGAGCAAAAACGTGATTTTCCATTTTTGCCCTTTACTATGCCTCCCCTCTCTCCGTCGAGATACAAAGTTTTAAACTTGGCACAAATTGTTCTTTTTTGATAAGATATCGAATGACCTATCGCGAGTCGAATTTGGTTTAGGGGCATTATTGACCCCCTTATCCGGTTATAGATACCCTTTTCATGGGGCATCCTTTATGAATAATATAATTACTGAAATATAGAATTTCTTTAATGCAAATTTTCATGGGGCATTCCCTTTATGAATAATATAATTCTTGAAACAGAATTTCTTTAATGCAAATTTTGCATGGGGCATCTTTTGTGCAAAATATAATTCTTGAAATGTGGAATTTCTTTTCTGCAAAGTTTCATGGGGTATCCCTTATGTATAATATATTATAATTATTGAAATGTGGAATTTCTTTTCTACAAATTTTCATAGGGCATCCTTTATGTATAATATAATTATTAAAACGTGGAATTTCTTTTCTGCAAATTTTCACAGGACATCCTTTATGTACAATATAATTCTTGAAATGTAGAAATTTTTTTGAAAAATTTTCTCGAAATCGAGGTGAACATTATGCGGTTAGAGATTATGGGAATGTTCTGTCATATGGGGGACAATATGCAGGTGTACTGACCCAGATCTGTAGCTTGACCCTTTTGTCGTGTCTGAAGACCGTTTTCACCTTAAAATCGATGCCCACGGTCGATACGAAGGCTGAGGTGAAGGAATCGTCCGCGTAGCGGAACAGGAAGGACGTTTTCCCGACGGACGAGTTGCCGATGATCAGCAACTTGAACATGTAATCGAAGTTTTGGTCCGCCGCCTCCTTCTGAATTTTTGGATCCTGGCCCACCATCTGTGTCGACCAACAATTTTCATTTTAAAATATCTGCAAACAATCTTGAAAATATTTTATTTAATTTACTCAACGATTAACATTGCCTAGGATTTTTAATTAATTTTCTCGATAAACGAGTCCGCCATGTTTCAAATTTTTTATCAAATAACGAAGGAGAGAAAAGGACCTTTTCTCAGTCGGTTAATCGGTGATTCGCTATTTTTGAAAAATGGTATTAAGACATGTAGAAAATAAGAAACACTACCATCAAGTTGTTTCACAGTTAACGTCGCCTGAATCTGTTGATAAATTTCTATCAGAAAAAATTAGATAGGTTAGAAAAAGCTGTTAAGATGTCATTTTTTAATAATTCCTTGCTAGATGTAAGTCGACATTCTCAGTGACCCAATATTTCACAGAAACGGGGAAATAGGAAAAATTTCCTTCGCCGTGTATTTTCACGTAAACGCCACTTCACTTTTCCACCCTGAAAAGAGGGGTGGTCAACGAGCTGAAAAACACGCAGCACTCTAATCACAACTGTTCAGAAACCCTTCGTTCAATCCAACACCAACTGAAGCAAGATTAATAACCTCAAAATGGAACTTGACCCTTGAAAAGGACTCTTGGTGCTTTTTCAACCTCTTCAACAACGATCAATCGACGAGAGGAATTTTTTTTAATCTCTTCTTCGAAGCTCGAAACAAAACGAATAATTGGTCATTTGAAAAATAAATTTTAATTTTACTCTTCGCTAATAAAACTGTGTACCTACATCAGAATTGACTAAACTCTCTTATTTTTTTTTTTCAAAAGATTTGAAAAAAATTGTAACACAACTTTCACAAAGTTGAATTTCAATATTTCTTCATATTTATTCAGTTTTGAAGAATCGTAAGACGCATCAATTTCCAATGTTAAATCATTTTTTAAACACAAAATCAAATTATTCTACGAACTTGACGAAAAGGATCAATATTGAACGATATTCGGAAAATTCTCCAATGCAAATGGAATTTTCCTCTCCATTAAATCATCATCCACGCCACAATCAAACCGGCCAATTTCCGAAATCCGAAATTTCACATGTTTCAATCAACTCTAAACCCCGTCACAGATTACCGTTCCCATTATCCCCGTCGATATCCTACTTTTAATCACTCCGCGCGCCAACTAGTACGCTCTGAACCGTCCACAGTGGCCGATCAGCCAGCACTATTCGCAATTAGCATTATCACGGCGAACGATCGGGAAAATGCACGCGTGCCGGTACCGGAAGTCTGTTCTGCGGGGTAATCTCGACGATGGACATCATTCGAGCCATTCTCGTTCTCAGTTCCAGCACCGAATCCCTCACCGTTGGCCTCTTCAAATTTTCTGCCGGACTTTTCGCCCCATTTTCACCCATTTTTCACTTCCAAATGTTTCTCCAATTTTTCGCAGAAAAAGAGAGAGAAAATTGCCACGATTGCACACTGCTGCACTATTCGATATACCCTTTTGCAATTTTTCGTCACTAAATTGTCTCAGTTTTTAGAAAAAAAAGGGAAAAAATTGTCATTTCACACTGTTACACTATTCAAGGTACTTTTTATAATTTTTCGTTACTAAATTGTCTGAAAATACGAGAAAGAAAATTGTCACGATTTCACACTGTTGCACTATTTTGCGATACTCTTTGCAATTTTTGATTGGAATTTTTCCGAGGAGTATATAAAAATGGTCGCACTTGTCGAGTGTGACAACGCGGCTTATGCCAGTGTTTTCGTTCGTTATTTTCCGGATTCGTTCGTTCCTTTTCATCGTTCTTTCAACGGTATCGCGGTTTCTTGATACGATAGCACACGCCTACGCAGGGACGTAGGAAGAATGGTACCTGTGGGGGGCCATTTTCTACTTTGCACATTTATTCAGTTATTCTACCCTAACAATTTTTCATTTCTCTCAATGTTTCAGAATATTTCATGCTCCACGTGTGTTCTTTCATCTTTCAACCCTTTCAAGACGGTATTAAAAGTTTCGTCAAATACGTTTCATTAATTTCCTTCGTGTCAAACTTTCTGAAATTATTAGATTATTATTCTAGCTTTTTGTTCAGCTATACTTTATTCAATTCACTTCTTCAGAAATTAACCGAAGGAGAAAGAAATTGACAAGATTTAAAAGCAGCGAAAGAAAGAACAATACATGTACTTATACATGAGAAAAATAGTTTCCAAGTAAATGGTCATTGGTAGTGGAGAAAGTTGTTAATTTTGTAAAAATAGAAAACAGATCAAATCGGTGCATAAGTGATTTTACATTGATCGACAAATTGGTCTTGTTCAACTCTGAAAAACTCAATTTTGTCAATTATAATGGCAAAAGGGCGACATTGTACGTCCCATAACCCAACAGAATACCACAAAGCCTCACTAAGCGCAGATCGATGTCGCCTGAATGCAATTCCCAGGAACATCTGTACTCCATGATCGATAATCCCACAATTGGGACAATTGAGCCCAATAACCTCAAACTACAGGTTCGTACAAAAAGCACGTGCCTGCAATGCCCGATGGAGTCGCCCCATTCATCCAACGGCGGCCATTCACGACGGGAAATTGAAAACATGAAAATCGGGGGGAAAAATTGAACAGAGAACACACTTTTGTGACGCGTCGTTGATTAACTCCTTAAGGCTGAACGTTTTCATTGGAGAAATTATTGTTTCATTCATCCCGCGAGACCGTTTTCCACAGACTGTATAAACCCTTTCCTGTGTCTTTTTTCTCTCCTCTTTTTTTTTTTTTTCAAGGCAGACTGCTTTGAAACCTTTCAAAACCCGAGCAATTGTTCCTTCATTTTCATAATTTTCTTCACTCTCGCTTCAAGAGTGAATATCTCGTAAACTAGAGAAGGTACTACCTGTACCGTTCAGAAAAACGTTTATAATACCAGATTTCAGGTTGAATAACTTTTCGTCCTTTTGGATCTTAATTTAGTTTCTTAACGGCTTAGTTCAGGTTTACTTCGGATTCGGTACGGTGCGTTGATACTTGTGAATGTCAGTGCGAATATCAAACTTGGAGCTTCTCTGTTAAAGGTTCTTCTAATTACCGAAAGAAACCAACTGTGCTTTATGTAACGAATGAAACACGTTACATATATCGTTGAATAATAATGCATGTACGATACGATTGTCCTGGAACTTTTCAAACAGAGTACAGTATTTGTTCGTGTGTGAAGAAAAGGTTGTATCGCTGGTTGGCAATCGTGAGTTACTTCATGCATAAGCTGATAGGAAGACAGCTAGTTCCGTGTCCGTGACTTTTTCCGGACGCCAGGTGCGGCTGTAGATATCGCGGTGCCACGTGTACTGCGTGGTTAAATCGATGAGAGGGAAGGGGTGCAAGTTATGTGAAATTGTGGTAGGAATTGAACCGACAATTCAATGCGCTAATATAGTGAGAATTCTGATTGACACAATTTCTCAGAATTGGAAGCTTCGTAATGGAATTGAACGGAAATTGAATAATTGAATTGATTCCAAGTTTCAAACGCATCTGAGTTAACTAACTGAAGCTTGCAATTGGAACGAAGTTTTATCGAACAATTGAAAATTGTAATTGAAATTTATCGTAATAATTGAATTGAACTGAATTGTTGAAACAATCGAGTACAATTTTGCTAATCTAGTGAGAATTCTGACTGACACAATTACTCAGAATTGAAAGCTTCGAAATGGAATTGAAATAATTGAAAATTCTATTCGCACTTCGGTCTAACATCAATTCCAACAATTAAACGATTTAAAATGTCACCTACATTCGAATACAATAATTGAAATTTACTTGAAAGTTGATACAATCAAAGTTACACTCTGTTTAAGGATTCCACGTTACAGAACCAAATAAAAGAACAAAATACTCGAGTCTCACGAGATTCAATTGTAATTGAAACTAACTCGACGACATGACCTCTCATAATGGCCACAAAATTTAACTGGATTGTACCTACAATTCGTGCAATTGGAAACCCACAATTGACACTGAATGATCTATTGTCGATAACAATTGTACATAATTGAACATCAAAAAGAACAACTTTCCACGCGACATCGGTACGTAATAGCGGTATAAGGCGAATCAGCTGCTATTCCATGTGCAGTTATGGCTGAAAATAAATTTCAGGAACATAGGGTCTATAAATAAACTTGACGCCGAAGCACAGACACTGCGAACTTTTTTCAACACTGGTGGGAGGTTCTTATCGATTTCATGCTCGAGCCGCGAAGGTAACTCCAGATTTCCCTCAGATTTCAAACCCTATCACTTCTGCCTCACTTATTTCTAGGATGCTCGTCGAATTAAAAGATCTCCCCTTCCTCCACCTCTCTCCTCCCTTTTTTTACCACGGAAAAGAGAGCAGCCTGCCTTCAGACGTCTCGCAGACTGTCGATAACTAATAGATTTGACGAGAAAACAATTTTTTCACGAACGATAGATTCTACAAAGGGAACAAGAAACGAACGGATCATTGTGAATCAATTATTCAGAAAGTTGCACCGTTCGTATTCAAGGGTAAGACGAACGTTCGTAAAACTGAAATCGTTTTCTAAAATTTTTGCTAACTTTTCAGATTTTTGCAAAATAACGTGCAGTAGAAGTTTCTTTTATTCGACATTGAAATCGTGCTGTGATTCACGGTCAAATATAAAATAAAGATATCAATTGGACTCTCCCAGAAGATACTGGAATTTCCGAAATCCTTTTTACATCGAAATGTTTCTAAATAACACGCCCGATACAAATTTTTCAAAGACAGCCTCGCACTTTCATAAAAACAAGATCAACTCAATCCCGAGTGCGAAGATTCGCAGAAAATAAATTAAGTGCAGTTGAAACGAAATAAGTTGAAAAGAAATTTGTAAATGACACTCGATACAAATTTTCCAGCCGAGTAACCTTACGTTTTTATTAAAAAACATTGATCAAAATCCCGAGTTTGAAAATTGAAAAGAAACTTAAAATTGTGGGAAAAAGTGATGGTAGAAAACGTGGCGAAAAATCAATAGCAAAGACGCGTAGGAGGCTCAAGGTCCAGGAACTGGCGGAAGTGGTCCCGGTTACCGGAAGTTCGACAACCTGTCGCCAATAGCGAAAAAGATTTCGCGGGAGAAATGTGTCAACCACCTACGCACAGTGATCGAAAAGCGAGCCGGGGAAAAGTGGGACAAGGTTCGTGATAATCGTATCGCCGGCCATATGTTAACGTTGACGTGCAGCTTGTGCTGCACACAACTGCATCCTTGCTAGCACGATAACGCCTTACACGAAATTTTCTAACCGTGGAAAACGATAATCTACCGTGAAACACACGATTTCCCAATGTTTTTCGGCAATTATTTGTCACCGATAGATTTTTTAGATAAATTTTTGCATCGTATGAATTATTTCGAAATTTAGCGTGCTAAAAAATATCGACGATGCTTCTAACGAGACTCGTGGAGGTTAGGATGATCCTGGTATACGGGGTGTCCAAGTAATCGTGGCACGAACAGACGCAGAATTATTGTTTACGAGAAAATTAATCGAAATTGTGGAACAAAGATTTTGGGAGAAATAAATTTTGAAGATTAATCGCATAGGCGTAAGGCTACTGTTACATTATTTTATCGTTAATTACATTCGTTCGTATTATCGTGAGAAACTATTATTTCACAGAAGAAGCATAGAAGATTCCATAGCAATATTTATAAAATAATAAAACAGAAGCATGCAAACGTTGATATGAGGCAAATACAGTCATTGCTGAAATAATTTAATTTTCAATTAAAGCTTCGTATGCAACACTTTTATCATAAATGATCACTCTTTGTCTAGTATTGTCAGGTTTATTACTGAGACACCCTGCATAGACACCCTCAGAAGGGAATATGGAGGGCGTAACACAATTTCAGGTTAGAAGCATGAAAAAATCTTTGTCAGACAGTGTCGATAATTCCTGAGAAAAATCAATGAAGCACAATCGACTTCCCTCGATAGGTGGAATCTCTGAAGCACCCGTCCCTTTTCCACAGTTAATGCTCTTCACCGACTGTCACAGGTCTTTGTACCCGTCTGAAGAGCCACTCCAGCCCAGATACATTCAATTCCTCTGGCTGAACGCATTAAAACATTAAAATGGACCTGTCTGTGCCTCTCTCTCAACCCACCGTTTAGCCCAGGCCATTTTGCATATGGCGAATCCCATGGAACCCTGCGTTACCTGTTGCCTGAAACACACCATTGTGCCAAATACTGAACTGGTATTGGATAAATCTCAACGAATAAACTGTTCAGTACATTTTTTAAGGCTGAATTAAACGAATTTCCGTTCAAAGCTGACCTAACCTCAAAATAATAGATTTCTGAGCAATCGACAATTTCTAAACAGCGGGTCAATCTTAGCTTCAAACGACTCGGACTACTTTTCCAAAGCAAATATCTTTCTCAGAATATTTTTTCAAGGCAGAATAGAGCGGATTTACGTCGAAAGCTGTCCTAACCTCGAAATAAGAGACTTCTGAACAATCCGTAATTTTGGAACAGTTTCCAACGACCCTCTTCCAAAGTCTGTGCCAGCCTCACAGGACCAACCAGAGTGCGAAAGATCCGGTAAAATGGCGGAAACGTAATTGAGAAAGCACAAGGCAGATCCACGTTCCTCTACTACGCTGCTGCGCCATGGGGGTGATCGTAACGCGGCTGGTGGTGGGGTAGCAACAAAGCAAATATTTTTGGAAGATCGATTCCCAACCCCTGACTGCCCACGCCGTTCGTTACATAGTTTCGATTTCAGTGGCTGGCAGAATGAACGTAGACGGAAGATGGAGCCTCCGTATGTGCACGTCGTGACGCTCTTAGCCTCTGGATCTCCGAAAACTCATTAAGAAAATCGATAAGAAACTGTCCACCCTTGTACGATCATCTAACAATCGTCGAACATCTTCGAAAGATATTGCTAAAAGCGGAATTTTTACTCCTAACAGGCTCACAGCTGACATGTTCCTTCTAACAGAGGGGGACAAGGGGGATAAGAAGGTCACACGGAAGGGATCCACATTGACGCGAATCATGCCAAGTCTATGATTCCAATCTCAAACATGAACAATGATCAGACAGTTCCTGTTTTTTAAATTTGTGTATCTAGTGACTGTGTACAAGCCACCATGGAGAGAAGGTGCCCCTGGATGACCCTATCTCGGTCTACACAAGAGTACAGGTGGCGAAAGACAGTCATGCAAGCGCAAAGTGCGTGAAAAGAGCCGCTTCTGGTTAGCTAGCGTATGAGAGGGCGAGAAAGAGAGAAAAAGAGAGAGAGAAAGAAGGAGAGAGAGTGGGAGAGAGAGACAGCAGGGGGAGACAGAGAGAAATCAATAAGCAGTCTATCGACGAACTGGTTGGTAGGACCAAAATTGTTCTGACAAGGGATAACGCGATGGGTCCTCGCAGGTGGACAAACGTCTGTCCAACTTCCTATTAGACCCACATTCTCGATGTGTGTACCTCCTAAAAACGTTGCTGCTGTGACGGTCGATCGGCGAAGAATAGTTAGGGATGCACACGAACCACGCGCGCTGCACCACCTGGCCCCTTTTTCCTCTCCTGTTTTTTTTCCACAACCTCGATGAGCGACTGTTCGCGACGTTTCAGCTCGATGGACACACGACGTGACACACACGGCCAGCACAAAACGAGAAGGGGTTGTTTCGCGACGATTTTAAAGAGACTGGACTGGCCTCGGTAAAGCCTCGCGCCACTGTAGCCCGCTATAGCTAAAATATCGACCATTTCGTGGACCCCCGCCCGTCTTCGGGCCAATCCCGAGGAAGGCCGCGCCTGCGCCACAGGCAACCCGACTGACATCTCGATATAGAATGGAGAACCCGTTTTTTGGGGGAGAGACACTTGTTGATCCACGGATTCCACGATGTGCCTACGACAATGCGTCTAGTTTGTGGAAATTTTCACGGAAGGTGTAGATTCCTGTTTTATCAATCGTGGGTAATTTAATCTCAATTATCATTGGAGACGATTGGAAGAGTGCGTGAAATTGTTTTTGAAGATGATCTAAAAGGGGTACTTTTCTCCAGTTATTATTCGATTTCTATAAGATACCAAAAATACAACGAAATGTTGTTAATTTCGGAATGAATGGTTTAATTATGTTTAATGAAAAGCTACTTCTCTGAAATTGGCAACATGGCAACGGAAATTGTTTGTCTGGCACAGCTTACATCGCTTTGGCTTGCATTTCGCTTTGGTCGCTTGTAAATTTCGAAAAATGTTATTTTCCTTCTAATAACCCACTCGGTTGCAAAATACGCCTCGAAATATGTCTCGAACCTTCCGAAATCAAAGGACAATTTATATAAAAGCGAAGGAGATAGTGGAACCGGAAGTTGGCGTGGAGGAACGCGTTATAAAACAATTACCGTCGGGACAAAGTCAAATTGAAGAAGCAAA